AAGGAAGGAAGGAAGGAAGGAAGGAAGGAAGGAAGGAAGGAAGGAAGGAAGGAAGGAAGGAAGGAAGGAAGGAAGCAGTTACATGATTTCAACTGGAATCTTCTTAGCCTAAGGCATGTTTATGCTGTTTGCAACATGTGAACATTGAATTAGATTTTACTATTGTGGGTTTGAAGCTTAAGTGAGATAGGCATCCTGAGAAATTGGGGGCAGTTTTGAACCCATCTACTTGAGGATACCTCTGATCCTAGTTGCTGAAATTTAGTGTCATGATTTTCTGCCGATCTGAGCTTTCTGATACTCAAAAGCAGTTATGTTCAAGATGCCCATCCTGGGCTAATGGGAAGGAAGAAGGAGGCTGCAATCCTTCTAGCAACATGCCTAGCAAGTGGAAGAAATGTGTAGGCACTCATGGCCCAAGGATAAGTGAGTCCAATTGTCTGCATAATTGGTGTTTTCCCTCTCTTGGCTGACTGACAAAAATGGTAGTATGTGGTTTTGCTTTTCCACATCCTCGACAAAGCTTTGTAAATGCACATCGCTCTTGTGTTTTATTCCTTCTGTCTATTGCACATCATAATCATTAGCCTTTTTAAAGGCTGTTTACAAATATCCACGTTTTATTTTCCAGTTCCTTGACTGTTGATTAGCAATGGGTTTGTTTGTTTGTTTGTTTGTTTTGCACTTATATTGTTATATTCATTCCAAAAGAGATTTACAGTGATGCTAGCTGTGTGTGAACATCTATGTTAAGACCAAAAATAAATAAATAAAGTGTTTTTAATGAGTGGCTTGATAGTATCCCGTTTAAGTGGCATAAACTATGTGGCATTGAAGAATGATGGGAGAGTTGGGTTGGGTTAGCACACACATGGTCTGCTTGTCCTTGGAAGAGAATAAAATGTTTCAGGATTTCAAAACGACTGAGTAGGACTAGAAATCCTAAGTCTAAGTATATATCTTACATCTGGGAGTAAGAGTCAATTGAATTCAGTGGGACTTAGTAGAGAGTAAGCACGTCTAGCTAGCAAGCTAATTTAGGAACAACAATGGTGAGAAGAAGAAAAAATCGTTTTTTCTTATACTAAATCTTTCTTTCAGGTATTAGAATTGAGACAACTATAATTATGTAATTAAAATAACACATAAATATCACCATTTCACCTGTTGGGAACATTGGTGCCACTAAATTGTTCCAAAAATAATCCTTTTTCCCAGAAATATGAACATACAGTACCATGAATATCCACAGTCACTTGCCGTATTTGCCAGAATGACTAGAGCAGTAGTCTAGCACCATGCGGCAACCTCCACCCCCTTCACACATGCATGCAGTATTGCAATGCGTGTACAAAAGAAGTGGGACTTGCATCACAATGCTGCAACTCTGCTTTCTTCATTCTGCCCCTGCGCTAAAAAAATTCACACACATTTCAACGAAAAACTTTATCTCCAGCAACTGTGCTTCTTTTGAAGTTAACAGAAACCAAATTTAACATGGACACGATGGAATTTGAATTGGCAAACTGACTAATCTTAATTTTCAATTTGTTCCATGCAATTCTTTGAATCATGTTATGTCTATTACATGGTGGTTAGGCAAAAGCTTATTGGCCTTAATAGATTATAAATTTAATCTGAAGTAAAGTCAACCCTGGCATGTTTATCTGAGACTTACTGTGAATAGTGACCCAGTATTTTGTAAAGTAGTATGTGTGTGCGTGCACGCACACACCTTCAGCTACTGGTGACTGCCTTGATTAGTCCCTGCATTTTTCTCAACAACATTTTTTAGATTTTAGGCTTGCCATTGCCTGCTTCCTAGGGCTGAGAGGGAGGGACTGGCTCAAAATTAACCAGCTGGCTTAGTGCCTAACGCGGGACTAGAATTCACAGTCTCCCAGTTTCTAGCCTGATGCCTGTAACCACCACACCAAACTGGCTCTCAATGAATTCCATTTATTAAGCTCCTTGATTTCAAGAGTTAAACAATTCAATTCAGTTTCTTTTTAGAAAATAATATTATGACTGCTTTTATAATGTATAATTCTATATTATATAGAAGTCTTTTCCACCCTGGGGAAGTTCAATGTAGTAAACTCCAGCTCCTATCCCCTTTTGCCAACTTGGCTAATCTTCATGATTGGCGAAGGTCACTACAATTGTAGTCCAAGACATCAGAACAGCAACAGATTGGGGAAGGTGCTCTACAGCACACAGACTTTATACTATCTACTTTTTTCCATGAACGTTGAATTTTACCCACTGGAACTAATTGCAAAATAGTGACTTATAAAACAAACATACCTGTAGAATTAAAGGGCAGACACATCCTTAGAATTATAGAACAGGATGCCTTTAAGCAGATGCTAGGTAGGTGTTCATTTTAGATACAAAACTGAGTTCCCAATCTCTTCAAATAATTTTTTTCCTAGTTCATCCTCAAAATACCTTACATCATCAACCTACTTTTTTGTAAACAAAGAACACCTGATTTGCAGCAAAATGTAACAAAAATGTCTTATTTTCAGTGTGTGTGTGTGTGTGTGTGTGTGTGTCTACAGTCATGTGAAAAAGAAAGTACACCCTCTTTGAGTTCTATGGTTTTATGTATCAGGACATAATAAAAATC